TTTTTGTTTGATGGCACATATAATTTTGAATTTTTTTTGTCATGTGTAGATGCATAGAAAATATTTGCCCACTCTAAGAAGTACATTTTTCCAAACATCATCTTGAAGTTCCCATTCAATTGCACACTCCCTTCACGAAAGATGTGTGGACTATCTGACAACACATGCTTTACGTAAACAAACAACTGTTGCGATAAAGATCGCAGAGATCTATCGACTGAAGCTGTGCTGAATAAAACAAAGAAGAACAACCATTTAATTTATGAGATCAAAAATGGTAAGGAATTATTCAGTTTTTTTCGTCATAAAATTAGTGAGCAATTGCCAAATTTCGGCGATTAGCTTCACATTTCAGGAAATCCTGAATATAAGATTCGCAACAGACTACAAAGTCATACATAGTGCATACCTGTAAAAGAATGATGGCATGCTTAACCGTATCTAGTAGTCGGTTACTGGAAGTGATCAAATCGTCCACATTTTTACGGTCTTTTTCCGAAACATGCTCTTTGAGTGCTTCTAGGCCTTTCACCTGGAAATGAGAAGGTTTTATTTATTTTGCGCCATATTCAACTGTATAGCATTTCATATTCCTCTCTTCAAAAAGAAAAAATCACTACGCACAAAAAATCTTCTCAAAGAAAAACTGAGTTCGGAAAGTTTGGTCATTACAAAATTCAGAGTGATGTCACACAACCACTGAATGACATGTTTTTTTTTACCCGGAAATGGTTGATGACCTTATCTAGAAACACGTCACCTGCAGAATTATGTCCGATAAGTGATGATCTGCTTCTACAATCTTATGTTTCAGTGCCTCCGATGCATTTTCCTGTTTCTTCGGTGCTTTCCTATATCCCCCACACTCACGGATGACTGTCTCAAGAGCGCGCACCCAATGATTTCGTTCCTTTTCATCGCGGCCCTAAAAATCGATGTTCAAATTGCTGAAAAAGAACCACATCTCCTTTCCCGTTATGTCTGCCCTTCTTGATGAATGCATAGCTTTCGACTATTCATGCTATTACACCCCAGAGACATACATTTTCGAGCTGAGTGCAAGAAACCGCTTCTTTCTCGAAAACTCATTTGCGCACAGGATGAGTCCGGTGAAACATCGCGAGAGACCAGTCTCGACCAGTGTTTGCAGTGAGATATCGCAGATGTTTTTACATGCAGTCAACAGCGGAAAACTGCCAAAAAACAAGCAAAAATACTTGTTCTTATTATGTGGCCACCA